GGGGGAGGGGCGCGGGTGCCAAACCCGGGATTGTCCCAAAAAAAATTCCCAAAAAAAAATCCCAAAAAATCAAAAAAAATTCCCCAAAATTCCCCCAAAATTCCCAAAAAAATTCCCAAAAAATTCCCCAAAAAATCCCCAAAAAATCCAGAAAAATAAAAAAAATTCCCAAAAAAAATTCCCAAAAAATCCATAAAAAATCCCCCAAAAATCCCCAAAGATTCCCAAAAAATTCCAGAAAAATCAAAAAAAATCCCAAAAAATTCCCAAAAAATCACCAAAAAATCCCCAAAAAATTCCAGAAAAATCCCAAAATTCGGCATCAAAGAAAGGCCCAAAATCTCCCCAAAATTTCCATTAAAAAACCCCAAAAAATATCCCAAAAAACCCCAAATTCCCCCCTAAAAAATCCCCCCAAAATTCCCACAAAAAACCCAAAAAAAATCCACAAAAAAACTGCAAAAAATTTCCCCAAAAAAACCCAAAAATTACCAAAAAAAAAAACCCAAAAAACCCCAAAAATTCCCATAAAAAAACCCCCAAAATTACCAAAAAAAACCCAAAAATTTCCCCAAATTCTCCCAAAAATCCCCCCAAAATTCCCACAAAAAAACCCAAAAAATTTTGGGATTTTTTGGGGGAATTTTTTGGGGAATTTTGGGAGTTTTTGGGGTAATTTTTGGGGGGATTTTGGGGTGATTTGGGGCAGGGTTTTTAGCAGATTTTGGGATGATTTTTGGGATGATTTCAGGTGATTTTGGGGTGATTTTTGGGATGATTTTGGGGGATTTTGGGGTGATTTTGGGGTGATTTTTGGGATGATTTTTGGGGTGATTTCAGGTGATTTTGGGATGATTTCAGGTGATTTTGGGATGATTTTGGGGTGATTTTGGGATGATTTTGGGGTGATTTTTGGGGTGATTTCAGGTGATTTTGGGATGATTTCAGGTGATTTTGGGGTGATTTTTGGGATGATTTTGGGGGTGATTTTGGGGTGATTTTGGGGTGATTTTGGGATGATTTTTGGGGTGATTTTGGGATGATTTTTGGGGTGATTTCAGGTGATTTTGGGGTGATTTTGGGGTGATTTGGGGTAATTTTGGGCAGTTTTTTTAGCAGATTTTGGGATGATTTTGGGATGATTTTGGGGTGATTTCAGGTGATTTTGGGGTGATTTTGGCAGGTTTTTCCCCGATGTCCTGCGGGTATTTCCAGCACGAGGGGGTGACGTTCCCGGGGTGATTTTGGGGTGATTTGGGGTAATTTTGGGCAGTTTTTTTAGCAGATTTTGGGATGATTTTAGGGTGATTTTTGGGGTGATTTTGGGGTGATTTTTGGGGTGATTTCAGGTGATTTTGGCAGGTTTCAGCCCCGATGTCCTGCGGGTATTTCCAGCACGAGGGGGTGACGTTCCCGGGGTGATTTTGGGGTGATTTTGGGATGATTTTGGGCAGTTTTTTTAGCAGATTTTGGGATGATTTTGGGATGATTTTGGGGTGATTTTTGGGGTGATTTCAGGTGATTTTGGGGTGATTTTTGGGGTGATTTGGGGTAATTTTGGGCAGTTTTTTTAGCAGATTTTGGGGTGATTTTTGGGGTGATTTTAGGCTGATTTTGGGGTGATTTTTGGGATGATTTTGGGGTGATTTTTGGGGTGATTTTGGGGTGATTTTGGCAGGTTTCAGCCCCGATGTCCTGCGGGTATTTCCAGCACGAGGGGGTGACGTTCCCGGGG